ACTGTGACGGGAAAAAAGTGGAAGTGTTTGTGTGTGTGATCAGCACTGTTCTTTCAGATAAAGCTGGTTCCATTTGTTGGTCTGGCCTTGGTTCACCCTGGAGTAATTTGCTCTCAGGTATTGGTATGCATTAATAAATAACGGGCTTTAACTGAGAACTTGTGGTTAGACTCTGATTTGGGCAGCGGGCCAGGGACTCCCTTTTAACTTGCTATGCTCCCTGCTATCATTTTCTAAATATGTGCGATATGATTAAATGCTGTCTGGCTAAGATTTAGATATAAGATTATTTATTTACTATAACTTAGCGATGCCAACACACAGGTCTCTGGAGTGGAGCACATGCTTTTACCTTCAGTCCCACATTCACATGCTGCCCCAGCAACTTTTCTCCAAATGAGAGGCATGTTGTAGTGTAGAAGTGCACTATATAAGAACCAGTCCATTAACCAGAGACAGGCAGAGTGGTGAATCTCAGTCTGTATTTTCTACATCTCACACAGGTGAGCTTTCACACTCAGTTACATCTCTAGCACAGTGGCCATTATGAGGTTCAAAGCTCTGTCACAGCTGTATGGACATTTTTACTGCACCGTTGTGTTGTTATGGGACTTGGGGCCATAAATACACAAGCTAGTTAAAGCACTACCCCCACTGCCCCCAACTGAACCCTCTACACTGGGAATCCTGCGCTTTAACTGTAATAAAATGGTTAGGAACAGGATTCAACTGGTTGGACTATTAGGTCCTTTTAAAAGAAAACACAATTAACCTGCAGCTAACTAATGCACATCTTATTTGTTTAATCGGTACAACAAACAGAATGTGAAATTCATGCTGAACCTTTGTGTTTCCAGGATTTAGACTAAGCTAAAATAAGCTGTATTTTTAACAGATAAGAGTTGTATCAATCTTCATGTCTATGTCTTGCAATGAATGTTGTTTCTTATGCACCACTACTCCTTTAATTGAGATGTTTTGGAGAGCAAAAATCACATGCAAAATTAAATATCTGATGCTCGATAGTATCTCTGACTTGCTGCGAATTAATTTTCCCAGCTTTTCAAATGATCTCTTCCTGGAAGACGATTTTGTGTGCAAAATGACGATCCCAGCATTTCCTTCTCTTTAGTTAATTTAATCCTTCACTCTCTCTTTTTTTGTCCTCTCTCCTTCAGGACTCAGCTGCAGAAGGATTGCCCTGTCTCCATGGTAACAGGCCTCAGGCAGACCCAGAAAAATGTTGGGCCAAACCCGTCAAACTTACCTGATTCTGGACTGCGCCGGAGAGGATTTTAACAAATATTATAAAACTATCAAGTCCTAATATGATGCATTCGATATTTCTTTCTGTATAAAGTGCCTGAAAATCTTCATATATTTCAGCTTTATTACATTTTAGAAAGACTTGCTTTCTCCCATCCCTGGCAGAAGAGTCTTCTATTTAAATATCTTTCTAAAACCAGGAGGTGAAGGAAAAGTTGCTATGGTATTCAAGACATTATGTCAGCAACTTTCTCAGTTAAGTGATCTTAAACTGTGCGGAGGCCGTCCCAGGCTCGTCTGAAGGTCCTAAACCAGGACAAGGATGCACCAGTTGTTTAGCCAAGTGCTCGGCCAGAGGGATCTGTCCAGAGCAGGTGATCTGTTCTCTCTGGAGGACGCAGACATTGAAGACTGTCTGTCTCAAGCTCTGGACCAGATTAAGGCAATCTCCTGCTCACCGGTAAGTTGATGTGTTTAGATCAGTGCAACCAACACACACAGTTGGTATTTATTCAAAAATTACAAAGCAGGTGCCATTAATTATTTATGCCCTTATGCATAATTCATTGCTTTTGTCCTTACTTTATCATTGTATTCCTAATTTTGCATCCTGTTGCTGGCTGACAGGACTATTTGACCAATGACAATGACCAGGCAGTGGTGGAGATTTGCATAACACGCATCACCACGGCCATAAGGGAGACGGGCTCCATCGAGCGACACAGCACGGCTCTGGTGGGACTGTGGGAGTCCTGTCTGGAGCATAATCTCACCCCGCAAGGTGAAAACACAGAGGACACTCCGCATGCTAAGATAGCCTCTGACATCACCAGCTGTATCCTGCAGGTATACACACACGCGCACGCTCGCATGCACACATCATTGTTTGTTTTACCTGAAGCACATAAAGGACACACATACTGACAAACCTTTCAGGATATTATGTGTGGTTAGGGTATTTAGCTCCAAGATACTTTTAGTGCTCATGGGATGAAACTTAAAATTTACAGTACGGTGCAAAAGACCCAAGCCATCCCTCTTTTTTAAAGATTTCTTTCTGAGGGGCCAGACTTTGTTGTCAGTATGTGCAGAGGAGGTCAGGAGAGAGACACAACAGTGAGCGTCTACAACCATCAGCAAAACACCGTGGAGGCTCTGTCATGGTTTGCAGCTGCATTTCAGTCAGTGGTGTCAGAGATCTTGTGAAAATTGACGAACGCAGAAAAGTGCCGTCAGATTTTGATTCACCATTTAATACCATCAGGAAAACATTGTTAGAAGAGCTTTAAATCTCCTTTAAGAAATCTGGAGAACTTTTCCTGAAGACTACTTAAAAAAATGACAAGAAAGCTGCCTAAGAGAGTTCAGGCTGTGTTGAATAATAAGGTGGTCGCTGCAAATATTCACTCATCATTAAAATTGCTCAAACTCTGTTTTTGGCTTGTATACTGGATTTCCATATATATTTGTACGAGTTTTAATAATTCATTGCACATATTTTCCATTTTCCTAACAAAACGTAAAAAAATGAGGAGTGGGCTCAGACTTTTGCAAAGTACTCAAACATTCCCTTTCATCTCAGCCACACACCTATAGCTTGTACAGTTGCAACTTGCAACCACATTAAGTACTTTGAACCGCCTGCTTTTATGAGTGTCTACAGGATACTCAAACACAAATACACAGACTTGCAGAATGGAAAAAGGCCATTGGGAGCACTTGGCTATAAAATCTTTTACTGATGCATTAATATTCACTACATTAGACTTCATCAATAGCTGTTGTATTAAGGGTTTGGTAATAGTTTTCTTCTCTAAGAAGTAAAACTGTCAAGCTCATCAGAAAACGGGCATAATCAAATTTGAGTAGAAAAATGCAAAAAAAACAGAAAAAAGCACTTCTTTCGTCTTCCTCTTTGTCATGTGACCTTTGACAGGTTATAGTTTTGGGGCTGGTTGCATGTTTTTTTTTTTTAATGCACGTGAGCAATGCTATGCTAAAGCTCTTTAAAGCATTGGTGGTAAACACGAGGGTGTAAAGGCTTTGCGGGGAAAACGAGTGAAGGAAGGCAACGTTGGTGCACGAGGGGAAAAAACCCTCACAAAACGGTACAAGCAGAAGAGTTAAAATAAAAATTAATAATGCATGATCTCCAGAGGGGAAGTTTCCCTTTAAGAGCAAATATACTTTATGTAATCACTGCTGGGGGGGAGGCATGAAAATGTACATTTAAAACTCACCTATTTTCCCCATTTTCAGACCTCCAGTGCTGAAAGGTATAAAAGCAGAGCGACTCCCCTCCACCTTCTTTCTCTCCCTCCCACTTTTTTCTTGGGAAAGGGAATGTGGTTAATACCACCATAATGAGACTGACTCCTCAGGAAAGACACACACACACACACACACACACACACACACACACACACACAAAAGTGAGGTTAAAAGTTCTGACAGCTCTGACGGCACCTTCTGGCTCTGATGTCCGAGCTCCTGCACTTATCAGGACAGCCATTCCTTTTCTCTTTTTCTTTATCTCTAAAAATCTGTTTCTCTTCATGTCATTTTCCCACATCTCTTTCCTTCCTCTCTTCCCCTCCATCCACCTTTATCTCTGACCCCTTCCGTTCTCTCTTTCCCTCCCTGTCATTTTGAATTATAGACACTTGTCTTATTTTCCCACAGAAACCCCCTCAGAGAAAAGGAGAGACGATTCACGTCATATGAGCTCTTTGACGTGCGTTGTCATTGAAGTGTAGTACAAGATGACAGGAAAGATTAATAAATCAATACATTAATTCATGTGTCAAAAGAAGAACACTGCTGGCACCTCATGCCTGCTGCCTGTAGCTGTCAAACATGACAGCCTTCACACTCAGTGTTCAGATCGTCCCTCTTTAGACAGACTAAAAACTGTTTGTACTCTAAAATGTCTCAGCTCCAGTGCCAACACTGCATTTCATGGTGATTCTTCTATATTTTGGTGCCTGATAATAAATGAATTTAAGGTGTTTACATAGTTTATTTTAGTGGGTAAAATAGTTTTTGCAGTGCCTGCACTGCCACCATGTGGAAAACCAGAGGCATGACAGAGAGAGACTACACTCCCCAAATCATTGATTGAGCAGTTTTTGATGATAGACATAAAATATAAATCCTAAAAATAGATATATATAGTAAAGACTTAGAGGCCTTAGGTGTGTGAATAGAAACAAATGTGAAACAGATGTTTTAGATGTGGGTTCACAAGTGTTAAATAAATATATGTGAGCCGCAGTGAACATGAAGTTCGTATCAAACTGTCCTCTGGAGGGTGCTGGCGCATTTTGAATCCCGATCCCGCGGTCCGTGAGCGTTCAGAGCACAAACTTGTGCATATGTCTTTCAATACAATGCAGTCTCTCCCCCTGTTCTTCATTCTTATAGCCCGTTTTAATCTCTGTGGCACTTATCACATGGGTTGAAGAAAGTACTGCTGGCGCTCTTTGTTTCAAGTTACTAAATATATTTGATGCGTGGCTTGCTGTTAATGAGGATCTTTAGGCTGTACTGTCTGTTCTAATGAGCGTTAACACCATGCACATGTTGTTCAGAAAGATTAGAAACAGCAAAGGACAGGCATCTGATCTTGTTACTCTCCTTTATAGATAATGAGAAGTAAAGGTCAGGACTGTAAAATTAAGCCTGCTTTGCTGCCCTTTCCTTTTAAGAAGTGAGCTTAATTCAAGTCAGACTGATTTCTCTGTGAATGCGCTCGCTCTGTGTCCCCTTGTTCAGAGTTACAGTGATTACCAATCATGCTCACTTTACAAAAACAAAAGCATTTTATCTGTGGACTTGTGCTGCTTTGACCAGTCGCTGGCATGTCTCTTAAAATGTTAGAAAACAAATATTTACTGTGAGAATGTCGTCTTTAACAGAGTGTCTCCTCTCCTATAACATGTCTCTGCAGAACTACAGTTGTCCTTCGGTCATGGTGCTGGCTGTCCCGGTGGCCGTGCGGTTCCTGCAGAGGGGCAACAGAGAGCTGAGCAGGAACATGTCCAGTTACCTCTCTCTGGCCGCTATAGCCAAGGCCGATCTGCTGGCTGAACACACAGAGGCCATAACAGTCAGCGTGCTGGGAGGTAGGATACACATACAAATGCTCGCACACAAGAAAGGAAACTGGTTACCTTAATTTTGTAGAGAAACTACAACGAGTACGTGTGTGGGTGGTTTGAGACTGTAAGAGCTATGGAGAAGAACTGAAATTTTAATGGATTTTCTAACAGGGGTATTACAGGACTTAATGTCTTTTAATGTAGTTGTTCTTGACTTGTAGGAACAACACGTTTGTACCACGAGGGATCCTTGTAGATCTGAAACAATAGGATCAGCTGTTTTTACTGGAGTGGAAAATGGAATTATTATTGTAATCTGCAGTTGTAGCTGACCAATGTGGTCATACGATGCACGTCACATACGTCATTGTTTCCCTCGTGGAGCTTTGATGTATAAGAATTAGTTTGGAGGAAGGAGAACTGCTACCTTTTTTTGTTTGCACAGTGTTTCTTGCCGTAGCCCCTGTGGATGCTACAGAAAGTCTTTGTAAATGCTTCTACTTTCTCTCTTTTTTGATCAAGACATCTAATGCAGGGTGGTTGTTTTTGCCTATTAACCGGTTTCATGTAATTCTTTTTAAATATCTCTCCTGAAGGCCCGATAATACCTACGTGCTCTGGAAGCAGAACTAATGTGAGGGAAGGGAGGACTGGGGAGGAGTATAAGGTGACATTGTCCTCAGGCACTGATCTCATTACTGTTTCCTTCAACTTCCCTACTTAACAGCTCAGGTCAGAGAGGGTAACTGAGCTGACCTCCAGTCGGTGGTTACAGAAGGCTATGCCCACTATGTTTTTTTGAAGCCCTTTTAACCCGTTTTTAACATACATGTTGCTCATTAGTGAGGTCCCTAAAGGTCCAGGGTCCATAGTCAGCCCTGCTTAATGGAGATCTGTTTACCCTGAGGCACACATGCTCTCTCTCACACACACACACACACACACATGATCATAGGATAATACAGGGAGGGCCTGAGTATATGTATTTGGATGTGCTGTTATGTTTTTTTTATGTGAATCAGTCAGTGCCTCTGGGAACATGTTGAACCTATAACCTCACGTGCAAACACACACACACACTAATCACCTCATACTGTACCACAGTGGGATGCCCACCACAGTGGTGCTCGATGCTCCCACTTTTCTGCCAGCAGCTCAGCACATGAAACAGATTATTTCCTCACTGTCTGGTTTTCCAGGTGAGTTTTTACCAGATTTAGGCTTTAATTATAGATGCAAGACAATTAGCACCCATAGTCCATAAATGTGTAACTGGTTTCTTAACAAAAAGAGAAAAAAGGGATGTCTTTTTATTTTCATTTGGATACATGAAATACGAGGGGGAAGAAAAGAGAAGCTGCCAAAAAGACTTAAGGTTGAAGTAACTTCTGCTAAATGTTGACTAAATAAACAACTTTTCCCTACAAAATGCTTTCATCACATCCAATCAGCTAAAGCACAAAGGAATGGAATAAAAGCAACAACTTGCAAATACAGACATGCACTGTTACGCAGTTGAAAATAGTGAAAAATACAGGGATTCATGCTACAAACAATATGCTCAATGTGCTATTACACTTAACTGTGGTTTACTCACATTTGGATTTTTCTACATATCATCCCAGGATTCTGGCTGTTTGAGTCGTCGGCCCTCGCAGAGTATTACATTACAGTCAGACTTATGAATCTGATAAATTAGGGAAGGTAATAATAATACCTCAGTGTCACTGTAATGCTTTTTCACTTCAACATTTGCACTCTGTAGTCTCCGCACGTATCGAGTTCCTGATTGCCGGCCCCTCCAGAGATGCATGTATGTAACGGCTGTTTTAAAAATATAACGCTAACATTTCTTTCCACTAGATACACGACACCCTCAAAGTCATCACCTTTTACTACACTACTGGACATGAAAGTGCACACGAATACCTAGCCTTCTTTGTGGGCTCACAAAGAAGCAGAGAAAAGGGAAATAAAAGAGACAGAAAACACGAGAGTTTGAAAGTTCTGTACACTTAAGTAGTCCGGTGGCTGTAATCCAGCTCAACGGGGATCGACCGACTGATATTGAATCTGGAATGAGAAACCAGATGAAAGTGAGCAAGTCCTGCTCGAAGGCTTTTTTAAAAATTTTTAGCAAGTTCACATTTATCTTTCATTCTGCACTTTTTAATGTAACCATGGCAGTTTCCAAGTTTGAGCACCTTCTAAATGTGCTGTACTGTAACCATTTAAACTTCATGTTGACGTCTTTAACAAGCCAGAAGCCTGCGAACCTTTGTTCTGAAACCTGGACGCCAACATGCGTGTGCAGTTGAGCATGGCTGTGCATGCATGTGCGTCTGTTGCCACATGCGATATTTTCTTCTTCTCCTTCGTCTTGTCCTTGGTGGTGCGTGTTGAGTTTCTGTCTTATAGTGAGTTCCATGCTTAATAAGCATGTGTGTGTGATTCCTAGTTACAGGAAACCAACAGCAGGATACTGGGTGAAGGTTTTATAGCTACAGCAGTCTCACACGCACTCACTGTTTGGCCCCACAGGGGTTTAGAGCCAAGGGTTCTTTCAATCTCTGAGTAAAACCTTAAGTTAGCAGAGAGGCTTGGAATCTGTCGTCTATCTATCAAAGCTGCGTGTCCGTTTTGGCTCTACCTTGGACTGTAAGGTTAATACATGGCAGGGCGAGAAAAGTGAGTGAAGACTCTGTGAAATGTATGTGAGTGAATGTGGAAGGTGATTCTGTAACAGGTCACAGTTACACAGAGGTTGTAGCTGCGGGAAGAAACTGTGGGTCCAAGCAGGATGTGCAGCAGTAAACTGTAAGCATATGTGAGCTGCAGAAAGTCTGCAGACAATTTCCCCACAGTCGCAGACATCACTGAATCAATTTTAATCAGCAAGAGATTATATACAGTATAATTTGCAAAAGTGTGGTTGTGACATCGAGTGCTGTGCAAAAGTTTCGGGCCGCCCCTTATTTCTTTATGTTTTGCTTCCAAGGAGGCAGTTTGTCTTGTTATATTTTTAAGTGGTCTTGAGCGATGCTTCTCCGGGCTTCGTGAAGTCTTTTAAAATTGTAATTGTCTGTTTTTTCCTTGTACCTCACACTTTTCAGAGGAATATTTTTCAAGCCGCTTCACACTGACCTAAAAAGCATAAAAAGACACCTAACTCAAGGGATGAACCAGTGTGTGTACCTTACACTATAAAATGCCTTGATGCAACTTTTGTTGTGATTTTGCACCAGATAAATTTAAAAAAACGGCATTGAGTTTCATTCAAACAACATAGCAAAGAACCAAATTTAAACAGTATCCTCAATAAATTTGTTACAAAAACATTTAATTTGTTCCCATTTCTTTAGCTGAATATGTGAACAATGTCAACAGTGAGCAGACATAAAGAGATTCCCAAACAGCTGTTAACTTTGGCACATCTCAGCACGTTGTGCAGTGTGTGCATAAAAAGTTTGAGGAAGCTGAAGAAGTGGAACACTAAAGGGGAAGTGGCAGATCTAAGAAAAACTATCTATAGCAGATGAACAGTATCTGAAATCCATGTACTTACAAAAATAGAAATAAATCCAAACAAAGTCCCGACACAGACCCTCAGAGATGGATCTGCCCTTCAGCTGATTGTCTACTGTTCGCTGAAGCCTCATCAGACATCATCTCAGTGGAAGGACGGCTGTCAAGAAGTAGTTCTTACGGAAGGGAAACAGGAAGGAAATGCTGAAATATGCCACATTACTCAAGAACTGGACTGAAAATCACTCAACAGTTCTATTGACGATGAATCCAGATTTAAAATTTCTGATTCAAATCATTGTCAGTATGTAAAGAGGAGTTCAGGAGAGAAATACAACAGTGAGTGTCTACAGCCATCTGTAAAACACGGTGGAGGGTTTGTCATACGTACGGAGTGGTGTTGGAAATCTTGTCAAAATTGAATATTTTAAATTTTGAAAAAAATACATAAACACTCCTCATTTAGGACAGCGGATACTTTTTTATTCATACCTCACTTATTTAATCTAGTCCTGTTATGAAAAATATATTTATGTACAAAATACATTCAGTTTTACATTTTCACAATAATAAAAACAATTTACAGTATAATACAAGACAAGTTAGTTCATAAAAGACTGTGTAAACATTATCCTTTTATCATACCTCACATGGCAAATTCAACAGTTTTACTCTTCTTACTTTATGCAGGATCAAAAGAAAACTTTACCTTCTACTTAAATGACAACTATGCACTGACAAAAAAACAAACAAAAGCAAAACAGGAGTTACATAACTCGTATGAATGCAAACACTGAGTACAAATTTAGAAATATATTGTTTGGAAATTCTTTCAAAGCTTTCAAAGAAAAGTTTATGGCAATAAAAAAATAGTAAGCTAGTTTAAAAAAAAAGCACATTTGTAGTTAACAGTCAGTCATGCTTAAAACAAGTACAGCAGTTTTCAGTCACAGGTAACAGTATGATCCCTGTGCTTTTGATTGTAATGGGGTTGGATTACATGGCTAATTGTACCCACAAAACTTAAAAGGTATAAAAGCAAATGTCTTTTCTGTTACATTAATAGTTAAAATGCTAAAAAAAAAAAAAAAAAAAAGAACATTTTCCTCTGTTTGGGTTTCTTTTTTTTTCTTTTTTTCTTTTGCATGTTTTGATGAACTGCACTCGCCATCTCAACAGAAAGATGAAAAATGCTTTGGTACTCTAAGAAACACATGTTGTGCAATACAAGATAATCACTTGTAATAGTCAGAGACCCCTCTTTTACTTGTGCTGCGTGGCTGTCTGGTGATTACTCTGTTTACTGGCTCAGAACCCCTTTACTTTCACAATAGACTCTTTGTCTTTCTTGCACTCTAATTGAGTCTTTGGTAAAAACTGCTTGCAGCACGTTCTCGGCGAAACTACACGTTTTCTAAGACGACTGTGCATCAGAGTGTTTTTTTTGTGTGTGATTACTGTCTCAGTTCAAAAGGCTTGGTGAAAAAAGTAAACTTAAG